GCTTTTAAATTATGTCAGTTTCATTATGAAATTCAAGAAATAAATTTACAAGAGCATATAGCTAAAACTGTAAATATAACTATGAATATATGCACTATAAATGCTTTGATTATTTTTGTCATCATTTATTGATATCTTAGTTACTGAAATGTATGCTTGAATAAATTAAGCAAACATGTAAAAAAAAAAAAATCTGTGAAGATTTTTTATCACTATTTAAATTACTTAATTTCAGTCAATGCATAAAACACCAAATTACTTCCTCAAGACAATTTCCAATTATGGAGTGGGTCACATATTAATCGTAATCTTGTTTGCAGTCAATCTAAATACGAATGAAATTTTAATGATATTTGTGTAGAATAAGGTCTATCAACTAATCATCACCAGATTGAACTGACAATTTAATAGATGCTAAATGAAACCTGGCACTGCTTTAAGACAGAAAGTAATAACATCCTAGCCTAGCTTTCGCGAGTTATTCTTCAGGACAACAGCCAGTTTATACTGGCAGTTGAGCTGAGCTTCATTATTTCCCACCGTTTAAAACTGTGACAGTCAAAACTCCAATATGTTCATCGGGCTGATTGGATATATAACTTCATTTGACGTGATTCCCTGTGTAAAAACACTTAATTCTGGGCCAAGCTTTGACGGATGAAACCAGCCCTTGACTGCACGGTTTGTGGACTCTATTGAGGGTAACAATTCTCCTTCAGTCGATTTCCTCCTCCTCAACGGCAAACCGAAGGGGCGTCGCAGGATTCACCCCCACCAATGTCAAATCATTCTCTGCAACACAGAGCCAGAATTACTGTTAAATAACCCTCCTCAAAAGACAGGCGTCCCAGGTGTGTGTGGTACGTTTGTGAATTCACTCTGTTAGCAGAAGAACGGTGTAGATGGCCTATTGCTGATTATTGCCCACCTCCCTCTTTGACAATCGTCACAGCTAGAGGAGGGGAGCAGCCTTTATTAACACCTCTATCTATCAGCCCTTCACTTCTAGGGACCCAACTGCTAATTCCCGAATAGATCGACAGTAATTTGTTAACGGTGACTTGATAGGAAGGCAGCAGGAAAAGCAATCCTCCCAGCGATAGATCTGGGTTTTTTCCCCACCCAGCCTCCCCTCAGACTGCATACTTTGGCAATCTTTGGGAAAAGTGCTCCGCAGGGTTTGAAGGTCCCATTTTGTCAAACATAATGGCTCAACCACTGCAATCAACCCCCCCCCCCCCCCCCCCCAGCTTTTAGGACACACTCAAAGAGGAATCACAGATGACAAATAAGAAACACGGTGGCAGGTGTTGATTTAAAAGTATCTGCCTTTTGCTCAGTTTGATTTCCGGTTGTCTGGTTCTCACTCGCGTACACTCTGCCTGAAAGAAAATGCTGAGCTAGAGTTTGGCTTTTCACCTCCATAAGTCAACTTTGGCACAGTTTATTACCAGCATGGCTGATGTTGTTGTTGATGATGATGTTGTTGCAATCAATAGCAAAGCATGTGCGACTAGGTTGAATGCTGGGAAATCATTGACATGAGTCGCATGCAACTTTCATCATACAATATGCAACTCTGCAACAGATTGGCCAATAGAAAACCAAGTGGGAATGCTTGTGAACGGCATTTTACATTCGGCCTTAAATTGCCAAGTAGCATATGCCACCACTAGATAGCCAATGTGTGCTCAAAGGCGCTATCAGAGTAAATACATCACGGCACGTCAGCGCAGCTAAACAAACGCCCCTCTCCGATGAAGCACTGTGAAACAAATTGGAAGCGCTTGACTGCAGATTTCATTATGAAGTCCGGTAATAAGTTCAGTACTCCCAGGACTGAATAACCCACAGATACTATGATTCACTTCCATCATGCAATTTCCCAGTGTAATTTTACTATAAAAACCATGTGCAATCTCAGCCTGTCCCTTCCAAGACAGCTTATAATGTACAAAAACACAATGCAACCGGTCATTTATTGCTTTCCGTTACAAAAAAAAATCTCATGTTTTTTCTTATAAAAGATTACCATTTCCGGCAAAATGACAGTGTGATATTACCAAGGCTCTGAGCATCTCTCTCTTGCCACAATGGGAGCCTGGAGATTTGGTGACAGTTGGAATGGGGGAGTCGGCCACTAATGTATCCACACAGCAGGATATTGGAACAACAAGGCAAATGGCTCTCCTGTGAGGAGCTGAGGTCCATTGCACACATTTTCTTGGTTTATTCCTAACATGTGCGCACACACACGCATCAGTGCTTTGTGTTGTTCTCTCATTTTGTCTTAATGCTGAGGCGGTGACTGCAATGCCCCGGAGATCATAATATGAACAGGGCCCTCCCTGAAGCACAGCCGAGAGCACGGTGAGACATGCATCTCTGCGCTTCATACTGCCATAAATCCTGTTCCTGTTGAGGGGGAAGCAATTTGGTAGGCAGAGCGATATGGGCCATGACAGGACCAGGTCTTGGGCCTCAGAGCCATGACACAGGCCTCGTGGCCCCGAGCAATGCCGGTCAGCTTGTTTGCTGTCAGCACATGCAGTAATGAAGGAAGGCAGAGGCTCTGGACTGAGACTCCTTCCAATCTAGACCCCAGAGGGTCAAAGCACCGCTTCACTGAAGCCATTTTCTACCCAGCAATCACTTCTGAATTATTCCACTTTCCCTTTTATACTGATGGACTGAGACTGCCGGTAAACGTTTGTTTTTATACTGCAATCATTTTAATGGGTCATAAATGGTAAAATGCTCCCGCAATATGGACGACCCTTGCTCCGAGGACCTTAATGTTTAATGCAGTCCTAAAGCAAACACTCAATCATATCTCCATTCAAACGCAGCTTGTGATTGGTACCGGTGAAAATCAGCCATGCTTCCATTCGGAGGCCATTTTATGCTGGCCTTGGTGATGGAAGACACAAAATGGACTCTGGATATTGAGGGGAAGTGTAGAGGAAAAGTCAACCATTAGCGTTTGGAACTTCAAATGGCATCCCTGGTGAGAGATTGAGCTGCCGACGTCCTCTCCATCACAGTACGCTTCCATTGCTTGGCGCGCGTTAATTGTTCCACGCCTCAGTTCGTTAAATGAGCATTCCGGCTAAATGACTCCTGAATAGTTTATGAATATTGCATGCCTGCTTTCTGCTTTTTTTTGTCTTATTAGCATAATGATTCTTTGCGTTGAGCTGTGGCCCCTTCTGACAATAGTATCCAGCTGCAGACCCGTAGCACCAGCAGTTTTAGAACCGCAGCCACAGAACCGGAAGTGAGGGGCGGAGCTTACGTTCTTAACACAGTAACGCCACCTTACAGTTTTTAAGGGGTAATTTGCTTTTATTAAACACGATACGTCATACTTTATGTATGTATGCATTTTATAATGATATATTAAGCATTTAAAAAATATTAATCTTGTGTAATTTATTTATAATTATTCGTTTCATTGAATTATGCGAGTTATTTCCTGTTTGTGATACTAAAAATAATCTTTGAAACTTCTGGGCATTTTATATGAAATATACTTTAATCACAAGTTTACTCCAAAGTCAAGAACACATGCATCATACATTTTTTTATAAGGAAATGTCCAGTACCTTTCAGAGAAAACGCCAAAGTTCTCCAGAAGAATAAGAGTCCATGATTGGAATGTCACACTGGAAGACACAAACATAGATAAATCTTTAAATATCAACTGCTACAACATCATAAACATTACTTTAACTGATAACTACTTACAGATGTAAACTCAAAGGGTGCTCCCAAGACAAGATGTACTGGGAAAAATATATATATATATTCTCCCTGTAAATGACACAGAAAAACCTTCCTTGTTCCTTATTTAACAACTAAATAATCACACCAATAATTGCTTGCAAAAATGTATAGTATAGCCTAAAATAAATAAATAAGTACACAGGTAAACTATTATGCAATAATATATTGTGAGTACATATATTAAACAAACAACTCAAGATATTCATACCTCCACAGACAACTGCCTTGTTGAAGTGGATTTGAAGATGACTTTTTAATTTGACCAGTTTGGCTGGCTTAAACATGCTGGTCAAGCAGAAAACTGCTGGTAATTGCTGTTTTACTCCAAAGTCAAGAACACATGCATCATACATTTTTTTATATGAAAACTAAAACATTTCAATAACACACACACTGGCCCCCTGAGCAGATGTCTGTTGTAATGGAGCATTTTCACAACTTCTGTCAGATTACTGGGATCTCCTTCATTACAGAATACTAAAGGAAAATGTAACTTTAATCTCTCACACACACACACACAGAATGGCCTCTTGTAGGGTTTCTGCACTCTAATATATATGCATCTTAGTTCATTTCATATTGGTCAGAAGGGGGTGCAAATGTAATGGTGTGCTGGAGGAAATGTGCAGTACCTTTCAGAGAAAACTCCAAAGTTCTCCAGAAGAATAAGAGTCCAGCACCATCGCCATAGGATTGGAATGTCACACTGGAAGACACAAACAT